CAAATTTCCCCCGCCCAGCCATTCTGGGAGTTGAAGTCCACTCATCTTAAAGTGGCCAGGTTTGGACAACACTGACATAGAGGAACAAAACTGGCCAACCTAGGAGAATATACTCGAGTTCTTATCAGATAAGAGGACTGACAAGCAAAAGTTGTGCTAGTCTAGTCTGAAGGCTGCAGAGAGCGTGGTAAAGTGTTCCCACTACTAGTGGCCCTCTTGCATTCTGTGGATCAAACGGATGCAGCATTTTGTGTGTCCCTCAGCTTCATTTCCACTGCAGTGGGGAGAAGGAGCAGCAGACCCCTTTCATTACTGGTGTTTGCGTGCAGAAATTCAAAACTCCTGGCTCTGAAATTGGTGCACGAGGTGCACATAGAACAAATATGTGCAGGGGAGATTCAGTTTTCATTTTGAATACGGTAAATGTCAATAAACCTAGCCCATGCAAACCAAAGCTCTTGGGGGGGGGTCCTCTCAAATGTTTAAAAGTGGGAAGGGGTCTTGGGAGCAAAACGTTTAAGCAATGCTGATTGAAAGAATGCCTCGTATCCCATAGGTCCTTGTGCTTGGCAAGTATTGGCAAGGCTTCGTGACATCACGAGCCTCCTCCCTGTTGGCCAGGCAGGCAGGGGAAGGCGGGGTTTGACTGTCCCAGCCAATCGGGGTTCAGAATGTATGTTCTGCTTTGCCAGACCTTGGCAGCGAGTCCAGGGAGGGAGCGACTTGCTTTTTCAGCTGACTGTAGTTAAGGGTTCCCACCGCATAACTCTCTGAAGTTAGCTGAACTCTGAGTTTGTTTGGGGCTGAATTAATTCAGTGGAAGTTTTTGGTCTTCCTGCAACGGCCTCTCCCCCTTTTAGCTCCCTCCTGAGGGCTGTGCGATCGGGGACCAGGCGTTTTCCAAGAGGGGCACAGCCTGGGTTGCACTAAAGCAGCCACTCTCCGAAAGAGCCTTGAAAACCAAAAAAAGCAGATGGAAAAACAACACCCAGCCAAGCCAAGCAGAACATTTCTTTGAAAGTGGCCCAGGAGGGTCCGTTGCCTCAGGCGCTCAGTGAGTGAGACGCTCAGCCCAAAGGACAGGCCATCGGGTCTGTTGAGTTTTATGGCCATTCTTTTTATATAAAAAAGGGAAGCTGAGAGCTAAGGCGTTTGCAGGCGTGGGGTTTCGGCGTGGATGCATTTCGTTTTCAGCAGTTTGACTCTGGGTCGGTTTGAGCCCCTGACTTGCAATTCCAGGGTGTGCGTTGCGACCGAGCTCTGAATGTGTTGGAGTTGTCGTGACCTGCCTCACGGGTAGGTCAGCTTGCATTAACTGTCTGCCTGTAATGCCACTGCGCTTTCCATGTCAGTGGCCTCTGGCAAGAGGCTTCCAAGTCCAGGAACATTCAGGATATGACAGCATTGAAAGAAGGATGGGGCTGGGGATGCGGGGGGGGGAGGTCCAGCTGTCCAGTCCCTCTTGGATGGATGAGATATTCACTTCCCCCACTTCATCCATTTGCTCAGGGCTGCATTGAAGATAGGAGGCAGGGGTATTAGGTAGGTTGGACGCCTTGAGTTAGATATACTAAAAAAGGTGAGATTTAAAATATAATAATATATTATGTTTTTGATATAATAATATTAAAATTAATAATAATAATAATAATAATAATTTTAAAATATAAGAGAGTCTGCCCAGGGTCAGTTGAGTTCAGACATGCCATATCTTTGGAAATGCAGAACAGAAGTGAGGTTCAGTTTGACATTATGTGGTTTTGTTTCTTTCTTTATATCTGTCTGTCTGTCTATCCATCCATCCATCCATCATCTGTTGTCTCTGGAAAGTGAGGTTCAGCTTGACCTTATGTGCTTTCATCTCTTTCTCTTTATATATATGCATTTTCTGCTCCTCTCCAGAATGGTTCAGCTTAGCCTTATATCCTTGAGTGGCTTTCTCAGCACTTGAGAGGCATCAAATAAAGAAATTTCTATCTGAAGCTCCTCCGTCTATACTGGGTGTTAAAAAGTATTTGTCCTGTTCCGTTTTCAGAGAATAATTCATTGGCACAACCAAAGTTCCCATTGCTTCAGTCCTTCAACCGTTCAAAACCAGGCCAAATTGATAATTTGGCTGCATGGGTCCTTGGATGTATTTCAAAGAGATTTGAAAACATCTTTAATCAAGCAGACCCATCAGAGGAATTGGGTGTGTGTAGATACTGGGAGTTTTAATATGTTCATTTGGATTGTGGTTGGACTGTGCTCTGTTGGGCAGCGTCATAAACAAAAGGTGTATGTGTTGGTTCCCATCAGGAATCTGCATGGCTGTGTAGAATTTGCTACTGGTGAGTTGATCAGGTCTCAGCATCTGGGATCTGACTTCCTCTGAGATGGGAAATTAAACCATGGCATGCTTTTCCTTGGGTGGGAGATTTCCAGGGACTGCCCGAGCTGTGGGCTACCCTGGGGAGTCCAAAACAATAACCTGGGAAAAGGCAGTAGCAACTTGGTCTGTATTATTATCAAGAAAAGCAGGAGTTGAGCGTGACTTGGAGAAGACTTTAATGCACTTTTTAATTCCACACTGGGCTACTGGGCATCGGCTGAAATTCTCTTTGGCCCGGATGGGTTGGATTCCACGTGTCCCAGCGTCCAGGCCATGAGCTGGGGGAAAAGGTCCTTGAATGCTGATGTAGGAGGGAGTATTTGGCACATTCGGAAACTACTTGGCTAAAAATAGAGGCAGAGAGAAGAAATTGCTCCAGGATTCGCGGAATCTGCCTCCTGAGCTAAAGGCTTCAGTTTTGACTCTGCTTTGGTAAGGCTGTTTTTCAGCTCTTCCTCTGCCAACATAATTCACAAGAGTTGAGAGAGAACTGTTTTTATTCTTATTTTAAGGAGAGAAGGATCGACAGCCTCTCAAATAAGGAACACTTACATCTTCTGAAGTTATTTCAGTACAGTATGCAGGAACTGGGATCCCCCCCCCCTTAAGAATGCCTAAATAACCCTGCCTCACCCTCCCTCCCTCCCAGCCCCGTTGCTGGTTCTTCTTTTGGGTTTTCTTGGCACGAATATCTCCTTTGCAGGTTTCCTCCCCCCAAACCCCCAACACCCGCCAGGGGAAAGATATCTGGGAATGGCTTAGTTTTTCCTTTTGTTCAGCCAAAGAATGCACTACAGTGCAGTATCCTTAAAAAGAAGGCGTGTGTGTCCAGGGCGAGGATTTAGAAAGAATTTCCCCCAAGGAGGTGGGGGGAAATCCGTTGTTTGAGTTCTCCGTAGTTTCGCTCACAATTTCTCACAGGCTAAGGCTTACTGTAGTCAGATGTCTTTCAGGCTAATGTTTTTTTCACAATTTGACCGTAGTAATGGGGAAGTAAGGAGAAAAGATACTACCATGGGAGGTGAAGATTACTGGCTAAAAATGTGCAGTAGTGCCTTTTCATTATCCCTTGGAATTCAGTTATAAGTTGCTAAATGCAATTATTGTTCTTGGCCTCAAGGCACTTTCCTGCTTGCATTTGGCAATGTCGAAGAATTTCTTTAGCCCTAGAAGGTGCCAGTTGAAGCTTCCAATGCGTTTGACCCTTTGGAGTCAAGTAATACCCAGAAAGCATCTTTTGGAGTCTGTCCCAGCTGGAGAGGCCAGAAAGAGATTCGAGTTCGCCCACATACCTTGCTTGATTTCCCTGATCTGTAGTCCAGAGGGTGGTGTAATGCATGTGAGAACCAGCCCTGGGTTGGGGTAAAGTCAGGGCTACTGACAATAGTAGTTTTAAGGTCATAACACTCAGAATCTTGGACCTCATCAACCTCTGCCTCACTACGTACCTTCAGTTTGATGGACAAATATGCCAACACATCAGAGGAACACCCATGGGATCACCACTCTCGGGACTTATAGCAGAGATTGTAATGCGGCATCTAGAAACTATAGCACTTCCATGCATACAACCAAAAGTATGGATCCGGTATGTAGACGACACCTTTGTCATAATAAAAAAGGAGCAACTAGAGAAGACACATGAAACCATCAACAACCTCTTCAGAGGAATAAAATTCACAAGGGAAGAAGGAAACAACAACACACTACCCTTCCTGGATATCCTCATCAACAGAGGAAATGATGGCAAATTAGAAATGCAAGTCTGTCAGAAAACAACCCACACTAGCCAAAGTAACAACCCAACCTCTTGCAAGAGGAGCTGTGTAAGAACATTATTCAGATGAGCACAAACGCACTGCAGCAACCCAGAACAGCAGGAAAAGGAAACACACCACCTATATAACATCTTCCAACAAAATGGATATCCACACAACTTTATCAAAAAGCACCTGGCCACCCAACCTACTACAACACAACCAACACAAGCTATGAAAATGATAACACTGCCATACATCAGAAACGTCTCAGAAACTACCAACGGACTATTACAACCACATGGCATGACCATAATACACAAACCAACTAAAGCCCTCCAAAACATCTTAAGCAAACCAAAAGACCCAGTAGCCCAAGAAGAAAAGACAGGAGTCATCTACAACATACAGTGTAAGGACTGTAACAGCCACTATATAGGACAGATAGGCAGAAGGCTAGCACAGCACATCCCTGAACACCAACTAGCAGTCAGAAGACACGATGAAAACTTCATTTCCCAACACATGGACAGACTCAACCATAGTTTCAGTGGGAAACCTGTGAGTATCCTAGACCAAGCTAAATCCAAAAACAGTAGAAAATTCCTGGAAGCTTGACATTCAGACAAATCAGCCATCAATAGAGACATAGAAATAAATCACATTTATATACCTTTCAAAAGAGACAATACAAAAGCTAAGAAGGAAACAAAAAGACCAGAACACGTCTTCTCCAGCAACCAACACCCAGATAAGGAAGGATTAACACCAAACAAATAAGCAAGCAGAAAACAATACCCTAATCAAGGAACTACCAAGGAGAAAACCACACCCTCACCCATACTGGGAGGGCAAGCTACCGTATGTAAACAGGGAGTAAACCCCACACTCACCAGTACTGATGATGTTACCTAGTAAGATAATGAAATGTCTGCAAGCAAACAGCCAAGCTCAGAGAGCATCAAGGACTCCACAGTTCAACCCTGCGCTACAGAGATTCTTCTCTATTGGAGCTACTGACAAGATTCAGCTCAGGCTTAAGGGGCTGAGTGCAAAGATGGGAAATGGCCATTTTGAAAGCAAACCACTGTTAGATATCAGAAGGATGCAGTGAAATAAGGGCATACATGTTTGCGTGGATGGGTATGTATGTAAGAACGTGGGCGTTGTCCTCCAGATTCCACCGCTCGGGCAGAATGCTTCAGTGTATCCCAAAGGAAAGTATGGAGAAATGATGTGTTCATATATGATTACACACGCACGCACGCACACACACACACCGGGAAAGACACGGCAAAACCCATTGTCTGCTTTGATGGTAGAATTTCCTGTCCCTAATCTTTGCCATCTGCTCAATCCTTCCTGGTTTCTGCCAGCAGCCCTGTCAAAGCTAGGGAAGGGGAGGGCAGGAGAGTCAAGACTTACAAAGAGAGAGAGAGGAGGAGGAAACTAAAATTCAGACAATGCAGATTGCTGATGCTCCTCTTTCGGCTTAAAAGGAGATGCAACGGATGAGTCAAACGAAAGCTGTTTACTGGGGTTCTTACCTGCAAGCGTCTGGACCGCTGCGGTTACACCCTTGTGATTATCGGTGGCACCTCCAGCAGCAGGACTCTGTAGCTGGGCTGGCCCCTCATGCACATCCATGGCTTGCTTCACAAGCCATAGTTGGCTGGGGGTGATGGTCTGTGGGAATGACCTTGGGAGACAGGAGGGAGAGCTGCAGACTGGACAATCTGCGTGTAGAAGATAGCTCAGACCACAGAAGGGGTGGGGGGCGTGGGAAGCATTTCAGAAAGGACCCTCCTTAGTTTTCTGGAGAGTAAAAGGAGAGGAAGGGAGAAATACTTTCAGCCTTGCAAGATTCTGTTCATGTCACCTTGCCATAAAGATAGAGCTAGGATTCCTGTTGTGCTTCTCATCTGGACAACCTCGAAGGGCTAACACTGGGTTTGCATCATCCATGGCTAATGCAGCAGAGAGGGTTTGCAGAACTGTGCGTGCTGCGGTATAGTGCAGGAGACGGAAGTGCAGGGGGCAATCCTGTTGTCCAGAAACACCGCTGGCGTGGGATCACCCGGTCCTTCCACGCCACGTGCGTTCCTCTGCAAATCGTGAGCCCCTTTTTTTATTCGGAGGGGAGAACTTGGCAAGGGGTCGTCTTTTCCTAACTCTGGAACAGGAAGTGTGTTTTTGACTGTGTCCTGCTACTAATCTGTAGGTGATAAAGTGCCGGTGTGGGTATCTGGTAATGCAGGGTTTCTCAAGCTCAGCAACTTTAAGACGTGTGGACTTCGACTCCCAGAATTCCCCAGCCAGCCAGTTTGGCTCCAGTTAAAAAGGGGCTGCTCTCGCCTTTCAAAAGTTAGGTGCCGGTGTGTCTTTTTCTCCCAATTGTGTGATTAAGGTTTTCTTTTAAGCCTGCCTGTAGAGCAGTGTTTCTCAACCTCCGTAACTTTAAGTGGTATGGGACTTCAACTCCCAGAATTCCCCAGCCAGCAGTGCTGGCTGGGGAATTCTGGAAGTTGAAGTCCACACGTCTTAAAGTTGCTAAGCTCAAGAAACACTGCTGTCATGGATCCACTACAGGAACTGGTTGCTGTAATGTTCCCGCAAAACATTTGAACTGCAACAGGAGAGTCGTTTTTTTAAAAAACTCCTTCAGTTCCTGCCCCTGTAAGAACATATTGGGCAAAAATGATCACTTTCCACTCATTTCCTACTGATGAAGCTTTGTGGCCAACCTAGCACTGATCTGGCCCAATTTAGCTTAACCCTGTTGAGTCCTTGAGAAGCCTTCCATGTTGCTTAACCTGCCCCTTGTTTGCTTGTTTCTTAGGCTACAGAATCTTGGCGATAGAGCTGATCTCGAAGAATATGAACCCCGTGGTGGAGGAATTTCGACGTAAGTGTGGGGGAACAGAAGAGCCCTACTGAATCCTAGTTGTGTCTTGCTGGGCATCCTCCACAACCAGCCCAAAGCCATGTTGGCTGGAAGTAATGGGGGTTGAAATCCAGTACATTGGGAAGGCCCAAAGTTGCCCTTCCTTGACATGTATCACAGCTTTGGTAGAGGATGTGTGTTGTGTGTCTTCCCTGCTGCAGGGGCCGAACTGTCCTGCATTATTTCGACCACCAAAACAGCCAACCCCAGGATCGAGTGGAAGAAAATTGCCAGCCAAGGCACGACTTATGTGTATTTTGACGGCAAGATGCAGGGTAGGAAGCATCTATGTGCTCTCTCATGTGTCAGGACCTCGTTTGCTGCGGGTGGTGCCTAAGGATTGGGAGCCATGCGAGGAGGGGTGGTGGCGGGGACCCAGTGCTGTGTTTCTTTCCCCCTCCTGCTTAAAATCCTCTGAGCTTTGCAGGAACATCCAGGAGGGTTATTTCGCTGGGCACCCAATCTAGGTTGCCTCAACTGATCAATGAATAAAGCGTACCGGGTTCTTCAGGCTCCATATCTCCTGTGCTTCTCATCCATCCTCAGGAGACTGGGTAAACCGCGCCCAGCTCAGCAGCAGGACGTCGCTGACCATCTATAACGTCACCCGAGCTGATAAAGGTGTCTACCGGTGTGAGGTGGTAGCCCCGGATGATGCCAATCTTGGCGCCGAAATCAACGTTAACCTGACCGTTCATGGTACGTTTCTTGATAACCTTGCGTTAAACCTTAATAGGCCATGCTGGTTTCCCTTATATAGGAACCCAGGGTGGAAAGTAAGTCTTGAGTTCATGTGTGTGTGTGAGTGTGAGTGATGGTCCCAGGATGCTGATAAAATGGCTTAACTCTATACATGGTGTGTTTCAACCACAAAGCAGCCTTCTCCCGGGGTGATCTATAACAAGGTGCTACCAATGTAATTAAATGCGGTATTAGCATCCCAAATCTTGTCTTGCACTCTTTCTTTTCCTTTTTTCCCTTCAGGTTGTGTATGTGTGTGTGTGTGTGTGAACTTGACAGATTGTCACCTGGTCCCCAGAGAAGGGATACATGCTAAGTACATATTGCTGCTTTATGCAAAGTCAGGCCTACTGTTGAGCTCAGTGCTCCCTGCTCTTAAGTAGCAGACCCTCTCCAACAACTTGGGGTGGGGGGAGGGAGAGGGGGTGTTCCCAGCCCTTATCTGGACTCTTGATCATGGACTTTCCAAAGCCTTGTGTGTATGTGTTTTGCATTGTGTTGCTTTTCCTACAGAATTAGACTAATTACTTGACCAAGCGGTGCTCAGTGAGGTGAATATTGTATATGTATGTTTACTATGCTTGTCCTGCAGATCCTTTATCTGTTCAGCTGGATGTGTAACTTCCAGGCTGTAAATGAGGAGTGATAATGAATAATCCACTACCAGTATGAAAAGTATTCTAATTTTCCCTAGTTGAGGGTGATTTACATTTTGTCTGATTTTTCTTTCTTGGGATTGCAGACTGTTGAATAGGAAGTTTTCATGAAGGTACGGCTGTGATTGTGTACCCAGTAAATCATGGTTGAGCTGATATGCATGAACAAAGAGAGGCTGCTAAGAACCTTCAGCCCAGATATTCTCCTATATGCTTGAAAGATGCTAGCAGGATCTGGCTCTGCTTTCTCTGAATGTTGGTCCTTCGTGACATCTGGAGCAAGGATTGTGGATTTATATAAACTCTGTTTTAATGAGGTTGATAATGGAGCTACAATTTGACATTGATCTGCTTTGGAGCTCACCAGAGTTTGCTACAAGCCACAATCCCATATCTATATAACCCAAAGGCGAGACTTAGAGAAAATGGAATTAAATGCTGCTCAGATGGTCCTGGCTGTATAGAGGAGATGGGAGAATGTAGCATGTTAATGCGAGGCTGACACCAATTTCTTGCTGCTTGTATATGTTGCATTAAATCATGGTTTGATAGGACGTGCAGATACGTCTGGGCGGCTGAGTGTGGGCAGAGCATGCTTCTTAGCAACCTTGGTGCCAAACTCCCTCCTTGCAGTGATAAATCTAGTAGATCAGGTATTTTGAGGGCCAACTTGATATGATCTGTAGAACTGTTCATTGCTCAGAGTGAGACACGGAGCTTCAGTTGCTTTCTCAGGAAGCGAGAGATAAAATCCGGTTCAGGTAGCGTGCCTATTCCATAGCATGTATGATATTGTTGTATTTCCAACTCTCCCAAATACCCTTCTCCAAAGCTGGCTCAGGAGTAATCCTTTTTGTTCAACTCCAAAGGATACTAAAACCTGAGAATGGGCGATGCTGGAAATTATTCGTCAATCTGATTTACATCAAGTTCCTCCATTTTCCTTACAGTGAAACCGGTGACCCCCAGGTGCCGGGTGCCCCAATCTGTCCCCGTGGGGAAACCAGCCACCCTCTACTGCCAAGAGAAGGAAGGGTTCCCAGAGCCAACCTACAGCTGGTACCGTAATGATGAAACGTTGCCGCTTGATTCCAGATCCAACTCTAAGTTCCAGAACTCTTCTTTTACAGTGGACCCCAAAACAGGCATGTTGGTAAGTGTTGGGTGAGAACAAGGAGAGGCAGGGTGGATTTCCTTATTTGGGGAGGGGTTTGGAACAGATGATCTTAATTCAGCTGGCCTTTCCCACATTCCCTGTAGTGGGTACACGTGTTTGCTTGATTAGTCTTCATTAGTGGTTTGGTTTGGTGGATGGGGAGGAGAGAAGTGAAGCTTAATGATGGGGTGCATAGCTAGTGTATCCCCATTAGATGCTTAAGATCTCATCCCCTGGCTGCCTAGTTGTCCTTCATTGTCCCAAGAGATGCTATATTGACAATACGAGCACTGGAACCATCAACAACATTATCAGGACAGCATCGTTGATGGTGCTGGAAAGGAGTCCTTCTTGAACACCCCTGCCTATGCCCCCAAGCCATGCACTTTCAGATCTTAATCTAACCATTGTTTTTCGAACTTGGCAACTTTAAGAGGTGTGGACTTCAACTCCCAGAATTGAT